TTTGAGGAGGTAACTACATTATAACATGGCTATAAGTCAATTGTTGTAGTCGAGACCGCAATAATCAAGACCAAGACCAGTCCAAGACCACAGGGTCCCGAGGCCGAGACAAGACCAAGACCTCTGAGGGTCGAGGCCAAGACAAGACCAAGACCACGGCCCATCGAGACTAAAATGAAACAATCTTTGTCATTTTCTACATTTATTTGTATTTTACTGTTATTTTGCCACAAATATATCAATGTTTTTGTAAATACATCTCCACGTGATCTGGTTCATGTTCCTTTAGGCTTTAAAAGGTCAATCAAACTGTGCACCTCTTTTTTGGGCCCTCACCCACAGTTTGAGAACCCCTTCTTTAATCCCACTTCCACTGGCACTTTACAGAAAATAACTTAATCGAGTGAGTTTTAAAAAGTTCATAACATTTACATTATCTTACTGGTTTTGCAATGATATTTAGCAGCCTCTACAAATTTACCGACCGTCGTGAAATATGATCAAGTGTCAGACCTCGAGTCCGAGACAAGACCGAGACCAAGCGGCGTAAAGACCGACACAAGACCGAGTCCAAAAGTGGTCGAAGTTCAAGACGAAACCAAGACCGTAAAAAAGCGGTCTGCAGGCTGATCTCGAGACCAAGACCTGTCTCAAGTACTATGGCACTAATAGGACCTTTAACTGATGTAAGTTCGGGGTCTTTCTTTGGATATGTCATTGCTATGCTTGGAAAGTTCCACAGTATGACATTAAACAGCTCTACCTTACATTTATTCAATTACAGGTGGTTCTGTGGCTCAAAAATACAGAGAAAAACAAGCATTCTGACTGCGAAATGCCTCTCCACAGATCGGACCTGTAACTTGGTCTGGTTTAATCTCTTTTGAAGATAGAAAGGTTTAATACTGTACTGAGAAACAATCCAGACAAAGCAATAGCACAACCATGGAGAAAAGAATTTGATGCACCCTCCACCAGAAAAGTTGCACAATGCAGCTTTAAGTCACAAAAAGCGTTCACCAGTCCAGGGGTCTTTGTTTCAATAAGAAGCAGGTCTGAGCTGTAAGAGGGAAAATGAAACAGTACATTTTAATGATCAGCTCCTCAGCGGTGTGTCTGCGCCGTACAGAGTCTGTGCTCTGAGTCTGGCCCATGGGGGAGTGATAAAGAGTAATGAGCACTGTGGTTATGCAGATTCTGCCAATAGAATTAAAGAGGAGATATTACACAAAGCTCACTTTTTTGGAGTTTTCTACCATGTTATAATGTTCTCTCGTCACAGAACATGCCTGAAGTACTCAAACATGCATGGACGATGATGATAATGATGATGTCTAAACCCTTGATGTTTATCTCTTTAGAAATCTGTGAGGTCAAAAATTTAGAGGCATTTTTAAATTATGAATGTACAATTGTAGTGAAATAAGTAGTGAAGATGGTACAATGTGTGAAGTGTGTTCTGGTCTGGTGCGGGAGAGTTGGAAAGCTCCCTCGTCTTGACTCACAGTTTGTGCCTCGTTCCCTGGACTCTTGGTTGATGCTTGGCGATTCGCTGACCCAGCTTTTTCTGATTCGATACTGATACGGTTTGGATGGAAAGTGGCACTTATTTCCGTAAAACACACTTACTAAACAAGAGATCCAATAGTGTTATTTTTCCTTCAAGTAACTACTGAAAAACCTTTGTATGAATAAAAGTTCAACTATTATGAGTCATTCTAGGCCAAAATCAGACTGTAAATAATAAGGGTGTAATGGTACATGTTTTTGTGTGGAACCGTTTCAGTACGGGGCGTTTGGTTCGGTGCAGGGCTGAGCACGAGTGAGTTCATGCAATTTGTCTTTGCATGTGTGTTTACATTTCACCACTACATGTGCAGCTACACGGAAGTCTCAGCTCTTTAATATTTATGAGGGAACTCGTCCGTGATTGCGGTGGCAGTGTGGCAGCGCTTTATAGTTAGGGCGGCCGCCTTGACAACATTTGCCTCCCACCTTGACTATGTCCCTCCGAATCCTTGCAAAACTATGATCAGTCGTTGTGCCCCGGACGTCACTTTCGCGTTTCGCCAGCACCCCCCCTCCCGTCCCGTAACTGCGACCTGTGTCCCTCATGGAAGTGTATTTTCAACCTCTGGGACATTGTACCTGCAGCAGATTTGCACTTACTGCAGACAATGTGGACAAGTTGGTTTTTCAGGCCAAAAATATGAAGATTGAGTAAAACTTCATGCTGGAATTGTTTACCGTTTACAAGGAATACATTTTTTAATTCCTTGTAAAAATTCAAATTTTAGGGTTCTTTATTTCTCTTTCTCTTCACTAGTTCAGAAACAGAACCAACGGGCGTTATTACAGCGTTATCACTAAAATAACGATACACAAAACATCCACACAAAAACGGCAGTGGCACCTCGATATGGTCGAGTATGAACTTTTGTGGCCTAAACAGATCTTTCTCCAGCAAAACATAGAACCCTTCTGATGCTTTCTCAACCGCAAGTCATCTTTCAACGTTCGCGCAAAGCCATACAGCACCCTCGTGCGGGAAAAACACAATGACACAAACAAAAAATTAACAGGATTTACATTACAATCTACAATTATGATTATATCTATTATTATTTAACTGATTAGTATTACCAAGCAGCACTTTGCATTTATTTAATTTTCCCGTTTGTATAATGTTAACACTAATTGTTGGTTTAATAAACACAAATAAACAACAAGCATTTTGTTCCCATACTGTACCGAAAATGAACCAAACCGTGACCTCAAAACCGAGATACATATCGAACCGTGACTTTTGTGTAACATTATACCCACAGTAAATAGTCTAATAATATCGAACTGAAGGCCCAACCAACCAATCTGCTGACCTAATATTATGGAACCAATACCCGATCGAGCTAATTTTCCAGTATCCGCGCTGATATCCAATACAAGAATTAGTATCGGTGCGTCCGTGGTTACTGCAGTATCAGAGCCTCTCAAAGCGCTCCACTTTAGTTATTGCTTCTTCTACTTTTACAAGGACTAGTACACCAAGGACTAGTCATAACGGGGCTCATTACACGCTATATTCTTGACCAGTTTCTCGTTACCGTAGAAACATATTAAACCCATTCTACTAATAAACTACCACATGACCTCTCCAGAAGGCTTAGGGGTGTGTGGACAGTAAATTGGTATCTCGGGACGTCATTAGAAAAGCCGTAATTCGGGCCATACTCTGTTGTTGCTTTCTAACGTTGTTCCAGTAGGTTGCCAGATTGTTGATTTTGTCAGCCTCGGGGACTACAATACAGTTATAGGATAAGGAGCGCGGAGCCAGTTTGCCCAGACGAGGAAACAAAGGAATACATGGGGAAATTCAATAAAGATGTAGCTGGGAGCATCTGATAAGTTTACACAGAATTAAAGTTTTATGTAAATTTCTTTCTGGTCGTGCCACATTACAGAAGACAGCGCGATATTGCTTTCACATTAGCAGCTTGTTAAAATGCGAACGCTGGGCCCAAAGAGTCAAGAAATGAATTATGAGAGATTTGGTGTGTTATTGCTTATTTTTGGCAATATTTATTCGGTCGACACACTGCAAGAGTTTTGATCAAGGTTTTTCAAATAATTAAATGTTCATTGTGTTGCTTTTCTGGTGGGGAGTTGGCCACCAGCTGGTCGCCATGGAGATGTTATTGCTTTGTGTCGCCACAGATCTGACCTGTAACCTGGCCTGGTGGTGTCACCTGCTTTTCTACAGAGAAGATTAAAGAGCTCATATTACTGTATTTTTTGGACTATAAAGTCACATTTTTTTCATGGTTTGGGTGGGACTGCGACTTATGCTCCAGTCTGACTTATATATTAAAATTTTCACACTGACAACCATGAGGGCGCTCTAGTCTTGTGTGTCAGTATCTGTTACTCCTATTACTAGTGTGTCACTGTCACTTCACTCTACTGCACATGTCTCCTACAGAAAGAGCCTCTGTCCTGTCTGTATCGTGTCAGTCGATCGCACCATTTCTTTTGAACCACTTTTGAACTTCAGTGACACCGAAACCATCCAGTCAGGATTCAGAAAGGCCGGAATAATTCTAACTGAAACTGATGCTGAGTTTGACGACAGCTACACAGAAGAGGAAGCGGCGCTCCGTTTGCCTCCGGAGGTCGAGGAGTTGCTCAGAAGTAACACAGAGGATGAAGAATTCAATGGATTTAGTGATCTGGAGTGAGATGGAGACTTTGGTCAACTTGGTCTGTTATGTGGTTTATGGTCTAGTTATAGTCCAGTGTTGTTGTTGTATGTTTTTTTCTTATGGTTGATAGGAATTCGAAAACTGGTATCTAAGATTTACAACTAGGAAGTAAATTTTGAAACCTAAAAATATTACCAAACTGGGAAAAATGCTGACATTTTTAGCACAATTTTAATGGTCTTAAGTGTGTTTTAGTTTTCTTTTTTCACTGACAAAATTTCAAAACTCCATGACTTTTTCATGACCTGAAGTGAATTTTCCATCACTTTACGGCACCTACATGTGTAGAATTGATCAGACTTTTAGGGTTAAATATGAAACTTTAACACTTTCCACTCACCTTATGGTTTGGTTTTATAGTTTTTTAACATTCAAAATCCTGTCAGTGCATTTGTTGTCGTCTCTTTTTAAACAAAAGGCGCATATGCTCGGAAATAATCATAATAGCCTAATGAAAACTTAACAGAACGCTGTAGTGGTGTGAAAGACATACTAAAATTCCATAACTTTCCAAAACTTTAATTGAATTTACAAAATTCCATGACTTTCCCAGGCCTGGAAAATTCGTTTTTTTTTTTTCCATGACTTTTCCAGGATTTCCATGACCGAGGGAATCCTGAAAATGAGAAGTCTAAGGAACATAAAATTGGCGCTCAAGGACAAATAAAGTGATATTGCTTGATAAGAACTGCTTGTAACATCACTCGGTTTCCATGGTGACCAGACAGAAGCACCTTTGCGTTTACAGTAAAACTTTTTTATTCAGTCACATTATAAAAAACATGTACAGAAAAAAAAGAAAAGACATGTACTATCATTATATTATTAAACTTCCCATATTTCATAATTCAAAACTCTAAATCAAAAAGGCCTCAGATGGCTCATGATCCTGCAGAACTTTATGTAATTAAAGGTGCACTGCGCAACTTTTCTTTTTCTGGTGGAAGGTCCGCTACCAAATTGTCTCCATGGAGATGTTAGTGCTTAGCCAGGAATGTTCCATGGTGTGGCATTAAGCAAATCCATGTCGCATTTATTCATTAGGAGAGATTCTGTTACTTAAAAATACAGCAATTCCTTCCGTGAATAGGGGGCGACTCTCCACAGATCTGACCTGTAATTTAATCTAGTTCAGTAACCTGCTTGTCTTTCTTATGATTAATATGTTTAAGTGGATCCTCGATTAGAAATGTTTTGCAGTGCACCTTTAATTTACAGTCCAATTACAGTCTAATCATGATTTATTTAAGAGAAACCGCAATTAAAGTTTTCTACACACAAAGACTTCATATTATTCAAGGTTATACTCATATTTATTAATTTATAGAATTTTTAAAAACTAAATGCACCCGAGGAGTAAGAGCATTTCTGTGAGCAGCTAACATTTTCAGAAGACAATACTGACATCTAGTGGACAACAACATTAACTACTGTAACAAGTCTAAACACATAAATATAAAATTCTGAATTATAAAAACATTAGGTTTAAGTCAACAATATGAAGTAAGAGCAATTAAAGGGCCTAGATTACACTGTTTTTAATCTACGCTATAATGTTGATACAAACATAACCTGGAGTTGTGTTTTGTTTCATTCACACACGTTTAAAAAAACACCTTGTGACTTCATGTGGTGATACAGAAAGTGCTCCATTGTTTATTTAAAGTTCATACACCTTCACTATAATCGTTTAAAGTTAATAGTTATCTTGAATGTTAACTTGAAAACTATCACCAGAGACTTAGAAGTCGCGGCATGGACTCGAGTCAGACTTGAGTCACTCTTCAGGGTTTCCCCAGGTTTGACTACCCTGAATTTAAGACTTTTTAAAGACCTATTTAAGACCACTTAAATGAACATTAAGACCAACATCGCACCCATTATGCAGGCGAAAAACACCAGATCCAGACTTGGACAACATAATGTAAGACTTTTTAAGACTTTTAAGACCCCGCGGCTACCCTGCTATTTTAAGGACTTGAGTCTTGACTTGATAAAATGGGTCCTCTGACTTGAGAAGACTTGAGGCTTCTTCTAAAAAAATATATGTTTTTTTAAAAATACTTTTCTTGTTACAGTTGATAAATGTGCTGCTTTTACAGGAACAAACTGGAACATGTCCCTCCCACTTCTGTTTGTTACTTTGGATGGAACTGAAGGAATTGAGACGGTATCTTCAAATGTACTACAGTAATATACAATAACATACAATACATTAAAACAGAGGGAACTACACAGAACAGACATGTCAAACTCAGACCCAGGGGCCAAATTTGGTCCGCAATATAATTATATTTGGTCCACGAGATCATATCAAATAAGTATTAGAGCTGGCCCGCCAGCTACAGGCTACAGTTAGACTATAGAGACATTAATTATTTAAAATGTTGTTATTATTTTATATTATGCTTGTTCTGGATTCAATGTTTAAGCAAAACTATGATTAAACATTTATTTTAAGAAAAGGTTTAACATTACATATCTCGAAAAGAAAAACATGCAGATGTTATTGAAATTTTTCAATAAATATTTAGTTTGGTTCACGACTTAGTCCCAGTTTTTAATTTTGGCCTCTGTGAATTTGAGTTTGACTCCCCTGACAGACCATGGTCCTTCCATTTCAGTGCAGACTACATGACAATATAACTGTTATTGAGCACTTTTAAATCTTAATTCTTTCTGTTCTGAGTGCAGTGAGTCACACTAAGATCTTGTCAAGACATTTAAAAAGGAAAAATGTTTTTTTTAAGTATAATTTAGTTTAAAATCCATATAAATTGGAAAAAATCTAAGTACTTTGGTTTAAAGACTTGAAATGACTTGAAGCTCAAAGCAGATGACTTGGACTTGGATTTATGGGCCAATGACTCGAGACTCGAGCTTGGACTTTCCTGTATTTGACTACTCACTACATCACAAGGTGGAACAGAGCATTTTGAGCTTCGGAGATGTAAACAGTCTAATATTACCAATGATTACTCAAACTCAAGTTACTCAAACATGTGTGAATGAAACAACACAACTCCAAGGTGTGTTTTTGAGGAGGAAACAACATCACAACACGACTTAAAGCTCACAAGAGTCACTTTTGTGTAATATAGGACCTTTAAGTCTTTTACACCACATTTCTGTTGGTCCCTTGGAGAAGACACGAGGCACAGCTTGGTCCAGATGTTTCAAAGTCATTCTAGGCTCTTGAGTCCCGCTGAGTGGATGTTACCTGGAGAGGTTAGAGCTGGCGTGTGATTGGCTGGAGCAGGTAGAGCTGGCGTTTGATTGGCCGGAGGAGGTGGTCATGGCGCTGAGCTGGGAGAAGCCGCTGTGACTGGAGGCCAGGCTGGTCATGGAGCCCCTGGAGCCAAAGAGAAGGTCAAATATGAGAACAACATAATGAGAAGAAGATGGGTTTTTGCAGATGACATGTTAACTATGTTTTAGTGAAATGAGTAGTATATGTTTTAGACTGTAAGTCGCTATGTTTTTCATGGTTTGAGTGGTCCTACGACTTATACTCCAGTACAACTTATATATTAAAATGTTCACACTGACAGACTCGAGAGGCTCTAGTCTTGTGTGTCAGTATCTCCTGCTCCTATTACTCCTGTACCACTGTCACTTGGCTCTACTGTGCATGAAAGAGCCTCTGTCCTGTCTGTATCATGTCAGTCGATCTCACCATTACTTCTGTACCACTGAAAATTTAAAATTTAAGTGACTTCAGTGACAATCAAAATCATCCTGTCGGGATTCAGAAAGGCCGGAATAATTCTAACTGGAACTGATGCCGAGTCTGGCGACAGCTACACAGAAAAGGAAGTAGTGCTCTGTTTACCTCCGGAGGTCACGGAGTTGCTCAGAAGTGACACCGAGAATGAAGAATTCAATGGGTTTAGTGATTTGGAGTGAGATGGAGAGTTTGGTAAACTTGTTCTGTTCTTTTGTTTATGTTATAGTTTATCTGAAGAACTGTTCATATGTGACGTTAACAGTCTGTTGTTCTCTCTTCTGTTGTTATTACTAGAACTTGACTTTCAAGTTGAAATGTCGGCTCCTGGTCTCTGATTTTATAAAATACATTTCCCCCAAAAAGTGCAACTTATAGTCCAGTGCAACTTATATATTTTTTTTCTTCTTCGTTGCGCTTTTTTTGGCTGGTGTAACTTATACTCCGGAAAAAAAATACGGTACTCTAACCTAAATCTTTCATATATATATAGAAACATATAAACGATTTGTGTTCCCAGATACGAGGTGAACATGTTCAAATCAAATATAGCTTTTACTGATAACAATTCCAATGTGTATTTATTCTTAATTACAAAAAACCCTGGACATAATGAACAAGCTGCTATTTTGTTTCCCGAGACGCTTATCCTTTCAGAAAGCACAATGCATCTCACGTACCGGATGCAATTTAAAATGTTATTGTTTTCAAATGTTTACCCTCTATGGATCTAGTCTATTTGAGGGAGTTACTGCCGCCCTGTACTCCGCCCAGAGCCCTGAGATCAGCCGACCTGCTCCTGTCGTGACCAAAACTAGACTCAAGACGAGAGGTGACAGAGTCTTTTCTGTGACAGCGCCCAGACTGTGGAACAGCCTTCCTCTTCCTGTCACATCCTCTCAGTCTGTAACACAGTTTAAGACTAGACTGAAAACTCACCTCTTCTCCCTGGCATTTAATACGAGCCAGTCAGGTTATTTTGGTGTTTGGATTGGAGTTTTCACATGTTATTTGTGCATGTGTATGTGTATGTGTATATGTAATTTGTTTCTTCTGTTTTTGTTGACTTTTATGTGAAGCACTTTGGTCAGCTGAAGTTGTTTTAATTGTGCTATATAAATAAACTTGAATTGAATGAGTCTTACATTTGCGTTGCCAGTTTCGATGCTGAAATCCAGTTGGTTCAAACCTAAAATCACTCTCTCTGATCTAAATCGTCGCTACCTAAACCCCAGAAGCTGCAGTCAAGTACGTTCATCATCAAAGATTCTTCTGTTCTGACAGGGCTAGTGACTCTTCAGAGGATCACTCCAGACAAATAGTCGAAATATATCAAGGTAAACAAACTGGCAAGATGAAACAAGTGTTCAGAACTAAGAACCTTGTCAGAACTGAAGAAGCTACCAGAATAAGTGAGCAAAATGGATTCACGCTTTAAAACTTTAGTCCAGTTGAAAGAAATCAGCTCTCTTTTGCGGCAATGATGAGAAATAAACGTACCTGAAATCATGTGACGCCAGGACCTCTGTGTAGTACATGATTTTACACTTGTGGGTGGAGACCTGCAGAGAGGCCAGAACGTCGTCCACTCGGGGCAGGCTGGAGGCTGTGCAGGCCGCAGAGCTGTGGAAACGCCACTGGAGGATGTAGAAGCCCGGCCAGCGCGTGATGTGGGAGCCCTGAGGTGGAGGAAAAACAATAGTTATGACACGGGATGATGTGAAGATGAAGGATTTTAAAGACACAACGTGAGGACATGGGGTACTTAATTGGAACTAGATTATTTGATTTTTCACATATCAATATTGGAAAAAATTCTAATAAACAGGACAAAATAGGACCTTTCTGGGTTAGATTTAAATAATAATAATAACAGGGTTCCTACTGTTTATCACTGACAAAATTTCAAAACTTTTCCACGACTTTTTCATGACCTAAAGTGAATTTTCCTTGACTTTACGGCACCTACATGTGGAGAATTGATCAGACTTTTAGAGCTAAATATGAAATGTTAACTCTTTCCACTCACCTTATGGTTTGGTATTATAGTTTTGAACATTTAAAATACGTCAGTGCATTTATTGTTGTCTCTTTTAAACAAAAGCGCATACGTTCAGAAATAATCGTAATAGCCTAATGAGAACTTAACAGAACGCTGTAGTTGCGTGAAAGAGAAACTAAAATTCCATGACTTTTCCAGGCCTAGAAAAAGACATTTTTAATTTCCATGACTTTTCCAGGATTTACATGACCCTGTAATAGTAATAATATATTTTATTTATATACCGCTTTTCAGGACACTCAAAGACGCTTTACAGAACACATATTAAAACAGTCAAAAGAGCAATAAACAAATTGTTATTTGTAACTGTACAACTGTAACTATATATCTACTGCATGTAAAACATTTTTTCAATGTAAATATGGAATCAAAATTTGTATTAGAAGTATTAGAATCAAAACTGAGTCACGGCAACACTAAAGCAGGTTTACGACCAATGGAGATTAAATACATTTACCTTATTTTTCAGATAACAAGGCAGAGTTAAAATCCTTTAACTTTATCAAAAATCAACAGTGCGCTTTATGTATTAATTCTGGTTGTGCTTACTGACATCAAAGTGATTTTATGTGGTACACAGCGCTCAATAATTCATCATAATATTTTAGTACTACTTTGGTAAACTATGAAGCCGCACCGCTTGATGGATTGGCGGCACGGTGGCACTCATGCCTCACAGCAAGAAGGTTCTGGGTTCGATCCCCAGGTCGCCCAGGGCCTTTCTGTGTGGAGTTTGCATGTTTCTCCCCGTGTCTGGATGGGTTTCCTCCAGGTGCTCCGGTTTCCCCCATCAACCCAAAACATGCTGCAGGTCTCCAGAACAGTTGATAGTCAAGGTCAGTTAAATACAATCAATCAATGAACCTGTCCAGGGACGACAGGTGGAAATTAGCACTGATGCTACAACCTGATGTACAATGCGTCTCTCCTGTCAAGGTTAATGCGAAAATTGTGCGCTGTCCCTGTCTCAAATAAATAAATAAATAAATAAATAAAGATTGTCGGAGCATTACAGCAATCGTAGTCAGGAGCTTTGCAGAGTAAGACATGTCCTTAAGTTTGACAGAAGCTGAACCGCATCAGTGCACAAGGAGTGAGCTGTTTTTTTCAGCGCTTATAATTTATGCAAATTAGCCATGTGGTTTTAAGTTACATTTCTGTAAAACCTAAACAAATGTGCGCAAAGCTGCATTAAACACATTATTACTCAATGTATATTTGAGTCCTTCTTGTAGGAAATAAAAAAACAAACTTATATTATCCACCCACATTCACATTCATAATCCACATTCACCAAGACAGGGAGGCAACAAAGTTCAAATTATGCCACGATCTGCCAGTGGATCGTGGACACCTGAGCCATTGAAATAGTCTCAAGTGTTGTCCATTTGTTTTGCTTAATGCGCCTTATGGTCAGAAAAATACCAAAATCATGCTTGGTTAGTACTTAAAATGAAAAATGAAAGACCCTTTGGAAATACAAGGTGCCACGGTGAGGGAGCAGTGACTAGTGGAAAATGTTGTTGTCCTAAGGCAAGACACGCACACACCACATTCATACTCAAGCAATGTGGGTGAAGTGATCAGAGGGGCAGATGGTGTAGACTGGCAGCTTCGCTTTTGTTAGAATAGTGCAATGAAAAGCTTCCTGAGTGTCCAAAAAAGCCCTATATAAATCCAATACGTTATTATTATGTTATTAATCCAACCAGAGCCATGCAAATCTTTCCTGGTAAAGTTTAAAAGACCTAAATAAAACTTGTAAAGCCTCACCTGCACGCTCTCCCCCTCTCTGCAGACCAGGGCTTTCTCCACCATGCTGTAGTCCTTCCCCAGCACCCAGCTCTTGTCTATGAGCGGAGCGTTGACGGCCCCCAGGGAGGTGATGCCGTGGGCCCCCAGAGTGTCCCTCTTCTGTGGCTGAGGGGCCCGTCTGGAGTGGTACAGGTGGAAGAGCACGTCGCCTTTGGACACGTCGAAATCCCACGTGATTACGGAGGACGCTTCTGAGATCTCGATCAGCATCTGAGAAGAGAGGAGGGTTAGGTTAAAGGAAAAATGAAGAGTAAATGAAAAAAATACTTAAATTATTCTTATTGACGGGGACATTTCTTGAATACAGTTGCTCAAAAATACAACATAATGAAAAGAGAAAGTAGAACAACAGAGAGAAAGTAGTATTTTTGTTTATTTTTGTTATTTGTTTAGGTACAGTGTAACTTTCTGGAGGTGGCATGTTACCTGCATGATGTCACATAAATACAGGGTAGCTGCAGGTTTGACTTCCCCAAATTTAAGACTTTTTAAGACCACTTAAATGAAAATTAAGACCAACATCGCACCTATGATGCGGGTGAAAAACACCAGATCAAATTCTAATAATGCCCATTACTCACTGCTTTAAATAACAAAAAAATACTTTAATTATAAAATCTCATTCAGAACTCATTTATAGTAGTACACATTGCTTGTAAAATGGCCAAAAAAAATCATTTATAACATTCTAACAAGACAAACTAAATATTGTTTGCACATACTCCAAATTAGACTTTTTTGTTTTGTTTTGTTTTGTTTTTTTCCTCCGTTTAAAATTGCACTGCAGTCCAGTTGAGTAAACAAAAAAATAGGCTAATGAAATTTAAGACCTTTGTGAACAAAAACAAGACATGGACAACATAATTTAAGACTTTTAAGGCCTTAATTTAGGAGCATGAAATTTAAGACCTTTTTAAGACTACCAGCTACCCTGAAATAATAAATTAAAGATTATAGTCAAAAGAACAACATTTCCGTGAAGACTCAGGTTTGTGGAGATGCAAGTCCACTCTCAGAATGCGTGATTTTTTATTGGATGGGAAAAAAAAAACGGAAAAAAAATAAAATAAAATAAAAGTACCATAATAATAATAATTTAAGGTACAAAGAACGTGGGTATTTTTTTTTTTAAATAAATAACCAAATGCATGATTTTTTATTGGATGGAAAAAAAAAAAACGTAAAAAAAATAAAATAAAATAAAAGTACCATAATAATAATAATTTAAGGTACAAAGAACGTGGGTATTATTATTTTTTTTTATAAATAACCAAATGCATGATTTTTTATTGGATGGAAAAAAAAAAAACGTAAAAAAAATAAAATAAAATAAAAGTACCATAATAATAATAATTTAAGGTACAAAGAACGTGGGTATTTTTTTTTTTTTTTAATAAATAACCAAATGTCTCTTGTATTATAAAGTTTTGGAGAAGTCTCAGTTTATAAGAGTCAAGTGGTATTAGCAGTATCCAAAACCAAAACAAAAGACTAAAGTTTGTGAACCACTGCAATATAGTATGAAGAACCTGGCTGCAATACATATTTTCTCCAGCAGGGGGCAGCCAAAGCCAGCACTATGACACTACTCCACTGTACCTCATAAGGAGCTCCTTTGAAGATGGAGGCACTTTTGTAAATAGAGTCTGTCAACAGTCTGTACTCTTCACTCTCCAGCTCCTCCGCCGTCCGGTACAGAGATTTAGGCACCAACCCTCCCTCAGGAATGTCACACTAGAAGAAAAAAGATTTAATTTAGGTAGGAAATATAAAATTTAAATGTGAAAAAAGAGAGTATTTTAGTTTACCATTGAATCTCCTCCTAAAAAGTCTGGGATATATTCCTTGTTGATGTAGTCCACCAGTCCCCCGGCTCCTTGGTAGTCGTTTCCAGCGTAGACGAGAAACTTCTTTCGTGTATTTTCATCAATCAGAGGACTTACCTAAAAAAACAGAGAATACATGCAGGATTAATCTTTATATTTATTTATATTGTATTATTTTATATTTATATTCATATTTCATAAATCGTACCCATGTGTGTCCTCAGATATATTCAAATTAAATATTGATTTTACTTTATTTTATCATCTAGCATGAACTGTATTTTAAACTAATCAAAACTGATCCCATCAAAACAGGATGAGCTACTCAATTTTCTTTTGAGTTTCCCAATCAAATGACTATAAACAAGGTGGTAAAAAGTCCTCTAGTATATGTAGTAAATTGGTACAGATCATAGAGCCTTTTACTTAGTCTTGAAATCAGATTTGAAATTTTAGTAACATGACAACAGCATTTGTTGTTAATGACACACCAGGTTCAGTTCTGTATGCATTCTATACTTTATGGTGTTGTAAGGTCCTGATCATTATTATTATTATTATTATTATTTTTTTTTTTTTTAATGGTTTGCAGTGGTCCAAAGCTATTTATATGGAGTAAGAAAGCTCCGTCACCCGACTTGCACTTTGTGGACACCCTGCTCCAAGGGCTCAGGGTTCTCCCTCAGTCTCAAGTCCAAGATTAATCCTGATTCAGTCCAGGTTCAGTCCTGGTTTAATCCTGATTCAGTCCAGGTTCAGTCCTGGTTTAATCCTGATTCAGTCCTGGTTCAGTAATGTTTCAGTTCTGGTTCAGTCCTGGTTTAATCCTGGTTCAGTCCTGGTTTAGCTCTAGTGTAGTCCTGATTCAGTCCTGGTTCAGGCCTGGTGTAGTCCTGGAATCAGTTCTGGTTCAGTTCTAATTCAGTCCTGGTGTAGTTCTAATTTAGCCCTGATTCAGTCCTGGTTCAGTCCTGGTTCAGTCCTGGTTCAGTCCTGGTTCAGTCCTGGTTCAGTCCTGGTTCAGTCCTGGTTCAGTCCTGGTTCAGTCCTGGTTCAGTGTCCTGGTTCAGTCCTGGTTCAGTCAGTCTGGTTCAGTCAGGTATTCAGTCCTGAGCATCTCAGTTTTGCCTGGTTCAGTCCTGGTTCAGTCCTGGTTCAGTCCTGGTTCAGTCCGTATGCGGCACAAAAGTAGAGCATCTCGTTTGATGTTTCTTTTGCCTGTGAAGTGATGACATATTTTTTTCATTTGCCAGTCGAGTCCCGTCTGTGAACTCGTATTAGGACTGAATAAAGCATAATCATAAATTTTAATTTCGTGACTGTAATTCTTGATGTCATAACTTTTCAATTCGTTTTCCGATGGATAAAATACAAACACATTTTATGTACGACTGGACTCATTCAAGAGTTCGCGAATATTTATTTTATGCTCAACTACAGCCAAATATAGCTTTCTTTCTTCATAAATTTCTCACTTACCTCATGCATTCAGAATATCCTACTGCTCAAAGCCAAATTTCTTCACGAGGAAATAAAATAAAACCTAAACCTATTCACCGCTGAGTTCATACACAACTTTCAGAGACCACAGAAGAGTTTTACTGTCACATTAAAGCAAAAATCAATACTAATGTTTTATATTTATGCATAGGATTTTAATTTGAAACTTGCCAATAGTAGTCTGCATCATTTCCACTTTTGTTTTTTTACACTCAGTCTCTATGGTACGCTCAAATTAGTTTTTTAATTGTTTGTCTCTGAGCGCTTATCTCCGCCGCTGTTTATTGCTGAATTCATCAAAACTCCCCCATAGGGTTAAGATTTAGATTGTTTTGCCTTTTTCTTTTTAGTGAATAACTCCATTTTAAAGTTACGACTTGTCTTGGAGCTTTCAGGATTAAATGCAAATGAAACTAATAAAATGTGTTGCCCCAGACAGATATACCGATATAGGCTGTATCTAATTATTACAAAGCATTTTATTGCTCAAGACTCATGAAGTGTGCGCTTTGCATGCTAGTTGTTCTTGGGTTTACAGTGATGACAAAAGTCTGCTGTGGTTTCTGAAAGTTGTCAAAAGCTCTTATAAACTCTTGCAGTGAATAATTAGGATGCTCAAGATGCAAAAGGTGAGGAAAAACTTTAGATCACTACAAATGAGCTTTAAAATAAACTGTTTATGTTTTTAAGACTGTAAAAAAATCTGGTATAGCACTTTTAAATATTATTCTAAAATTACTTCAGTTCTAAAATCGTAAAGTTCTAAAGTTAAGATTCGTTTCACACATTTAAAAAACCTCGGGGACGTCAGGATTAAGTAGGTTAATGCTTAAAACTTGTCTCTGATCTTTCGGGATCAGATGCAAACGAAAACAAAAACAAAAGCCTCATCAGTACCAGAGTCCAGAGAACGGGGAAGACCCTAGGCGCGCGCACGATCAGCAGTCTGCCCAGTGTCTCGGGGTAGTTAGCCTCCACCACCTCGATGATGCGGAGCAGGGCTTTGATGCCAGGTCTCCACAGATGGCGCATGTTCAAGCCCTCCAGGTCCACCAGGCAGGTCCAGCAACTACAGGAGAAATAAAAGAGAATGGATTCAAGTGGGATTTGTGAATTTGCAACGTAAAACAGCAGGAAGATGACATGTTATTCATTACTTTGTGGTATTTAGTAATGAACTACAACATCTGTAGATGATAATTTTATTGTGTTCATTGTAAACTGCAATATTGATTGAAAACAGCTTCATAATCGAAACAGCTTTTAAATCCCTGTTCAAAACCACAGAACTGATCGACCCCACACTGTTTGTGGTGTTTCACTATAGCAACGTACGTACTATATGTGTTGTATTGTGGAAAAATTACCATGTGACATTTTTTTTATCCAGAGTCAGAGTTTGTTTTTTTTTGTTTTTTTAATTAAAGTGATAATGTGTGTCAAATCCCTCACTTGTCCAAGTAGAATCCTAGCCAGCGGAGCCATCTAGTGCCTCTGCTCAATTTTATTTCTCTCCAGCGACTAGGTCAAGAATCGGAATACACTACACGGTTCGCAAAAATCCCGGAAATGCGAGTTCGGGCACCAGCCAATCAGGGAAGAGCCATATATTCTGTGTTGGCAACGATTCCCGAGATCGAATTTTATCAAGGGGAAAGACGTTATTGCCCTTCTTCCTACAGGATTTGGGAAAAGCTTAATATACCAGTTAGCCCCGTTAGCGGTACATTACATACGTCATGACCAAATAGCAGAGATTGGTTAAATAAAAAAAAGTACCCGCCTACCATCGAGCGAACGAATTCTAACGCTGTGAGGCTGGTAGAATCCACGCCAGAAAGAGAAATTCAATATGTCAACTGGACAGAAATTTTATTTGGTCAAATACATTTTGCAGCTCAAATACATTTTTGTCCAGTTGACAAATTTAACTTCTCTTTTTGCCTTAAAGTGATAATATGGGACTTTCTGGAGCTGGAAAGTCAACTGTTTGATTCCATGGAAACAGGAAGTTAAAAAATAATATTCTCCATATAGATAGATAAGTTCTGTTTCATCCCTACTGATCACTGGATGATCATCCTTGTGCATACGCAGGGATGATCAATTAGTCAAACTAGTTGGACTGGACTACTCGCTCAGACCGAGTAAGAGTCAGGTTTATGGAGCAGCAAGCTCATTCACAATAAGGACACATAAAATAATAAAAATATCCATAATGAAAAAACTGTTTTTATTTTAGACTGTTTCTTGGCAAAGGTTTCTGTAGCTTTAAAGTGGATTTCAAGTAATATGTTTCCTTTAATGTTTGTACCTGACAGGCCGACCAAAAACTCTGGTGTTCTCCTCACAGCGCCTCAGCCCTTCTTCATTGAGAGACAGCACCTGTAATAGAAACACACAGCAAACTAGTGTACACAATACTTACATCTGCATACTGTATACATTACATATTTTTCTGAATGGTATTTGTTTAAAAGTGCACTGCATAACTTTTCTGGTGAAAGGTCTGCAACCTGCTTGTCTCATAAGTATTTTTGAGGAATAGAAACAACTGGAATTGAACAAATGCAAGTTAATGAACATTTAATGTCATACTCAACACTGTATCAAAGCAAGAACATTTGAGTGGCTGCAGTGACACTAGTATGTGACCTCTAAATCTGATTATTGTCACATTGTTGCAGTTACAAGATTATAAAAATGAAATGTAAAGAGCAAAAATCAACCAACTTCTTCCTGATCATGGTCTTTCACGTTACTCACAGCAAATTCAGTTGTTTCCATGTCTCTTTAAATTCCAGAAATCAGGAAGGCGGATCTTTATCAGAAAAAAGTTATGCAACACACTTCTTCGAATTGTTTTTGTTGGCAGGCTGTATGCAAAATGAGCGCAATGTTTCCCCCCACATGTTTGGCCAGTGACTTAATTAACTCTCAAATATGGGTCAGTAGCGAGAAAATGTAATCACAGTTCGTAAAACACATTCAACGCACCTTTCAGTTCAAAGTAATTGTTTAGATTTGAATGTGAATTTGAATGTGACTTCTCAGAAATTGATAGAAAGTGATTGAATTGGTGCATTGTCAAGTCTGATGTTTGGCAAGTTTGTCACTTCTGAAATTAAATCTCAGGTCTCCTCAGAAAGCACCGCACCGTGTTTGGTTTGCAATCAAATGTGTCTTTGTTTTTATGTGATGTAATGTATGTACAACCGCTCTGTGTGCCTTGTAAATTGCTCCTGTGGGGATAAATAAAGTGAATTATTGAACTGAAATTATTTATTTCATTATGTAAAAGGGACCAAAGCAGAAAAGAAAAAAAAACAAAACAAAACAGGAAAGGAAACAAAGCAAAACCAAAAGAGCACTCACATAAATGGACATGCTATTCAGTGTTGCTTTGGTTCAATATCTAACTGCTGCGGTCAGGCTCCTCATTTTGGTCTCTAAGGCTGTGTTCAGACTCGAGGGCTTAATGCTCAATTCTGATTTTTTTGTGAAATGAGATTTTTTTATGAGATCATTCACATTTCCAGTTAAATGTGCTTGTATGTGAGCTCCAGTGTGAACTTTAAACGCCCCAAAAGTGTCCCGCATGTGCACTAGATGACACAACAACGTCACACGCAGCGAGTGTGCTCAGTGTTTACGGAAGTCGCCTAAATATGGGATGTTAACGTTGAGCACCTGGTGATTTTAAAGTTGCTGTCGTACCAGAGCCAGAACATGTACAACTTATTTGTTTTAAAGGAGGAGATTGAGAAGGACGAGGTTTTTGGCCGTGGCGTTTTGTGGGGTAGTAGCAGCAACGTCCGTGGAAAGGAACGTGTGGGTGCAGAGTCGCAGCCAAGGGTGGAGGGCTTCACTGCTTTACTGACACGGAGTTCATACACAATTTTCGGATGACGAGAAGAATGTTTGTGTACATTTGTGAGGGTGTAGGTGGGATGAATGTGACCTGGCCGTTCAGACTGAAGTTGCATGTCAAAAGATCGGATATGTATCGGTTTTAGGGGCACATATCCAAGTGTCCTGGGTCACATTTGAAAAAATCGGATCTGTGTCGTTCAGACTGTCATTAAAAGATCAAATAAATGGGGCATAGCGGTGAAAAAAATCGGTTTTGGTTTCACTTCAGGCTGCAGTCTGAACGTACCCAAAATGAGGAGCCTGACCCACTTTACATGATCCTGGTGTTTTTATTTCACAATTTTGTCCATAAATCTATTTATGTCACACTCCTTCTTTATACAGTCTATGGTTTGACCTAAATATACTTTGATATGGAGGCACACTGCGTAATGGAAAACTTGTATTTTATTATCAGTATAACAAAAGTACTTTACCTGTTTGAGCAGCACTTCCTCTCCCAAAGCTCGCACCAGTCCCTTTGTGTCCATTTGTCCCAGACGCAAGACATACAGAGGGCGCCCATCTTGAAAATCACAGTCATAACAAGCACGTAATTACTTTAAGTTTAAGCGAAGAGTCTTACAATTCGCTATATTGTGATCCATCTTATTGTGAGAGCTTTGACAATACGATATTTTGCTTATTGTTACGTCTCTAGTGACTCGTGTATCAAGTATCAAACCGTGAGGAACTCCGCGAATCCCAGCCCTACTTCAAATCATTTAATATTCTTAACAAAAACTCTTGTTAGATTTGCTCTCAGCGGAAACCAAAACACTGTTAAATATATTACTCAAGTAGGAGAAAAAGTATGGCATCTGAAAAGTACTCTGAGAAGTTACAAGTGGCCCATAGCAAAAAAAAAAAAGAAGAAAAAAAAAGAATTCCGTCAACTAGACAAAAGTTTTAAGGGTGAATATGTTTCGCTGCTCACCCAAGTAGCTCCACTGACAGGTTTGTGGTAAGTCACTGCCTCTGGACAGACAGAAGGAACCCCGTCAGAACTGAGTGCTGAAACTTGGATGAGTGGTGAAATATTAAGATATTCACTCTTAAAACTTCTGTCCAGTTGACAGTCTTTTTTTTTTTGCGAGAGTTACTCAGATAACTGCAGATAGGGCTGGGTGATATGGCGATACAAATCATAAGTGTTTTCTCATCCCTGTGATGATTTTCTGATCTGTTATAATGTTGTTTCCTCATCATAAACATTTTCATTTATTAGAGCTCTTCCCTCAAACAGAAAACACTCTGTTCCACCTTGTGATGACGTGAAGTGATGCAGGAAGTGCTCCACTGTGTTTTTAAACTCAAAATACCTTCACTAGAAACATGTGGATAATTTCAGCTCTGAAATCGCCAATCTCTACTAAATAAAAGTTAAAAGAAAGTTTGTTCATTTGAAAATTACCGATTCATGACACCACAAGGTGAACCAGACTATTTTGAGCTGTGGAGATGTAAACAAATTAATAATAAAGGATTACTCAAACATGTGTGAATGAAACAAAACACAACTCCAGGTCTGTTTTTGATGAGGCAACAACATTCAACATGGCTAAAAGCTCACCAGAGTCAATTTTGAGCAAAATAGGATCTTTAATGGAAATCTATAATTAAAAACAGACACTTCCTATTGGTCAGCGCTCTGTGTGACAGCTGGATATAAGCAATCACAGCCAAGACTGACCCTTCAGATACAGCAAATAGCTTTAGTTGCAAAAAAGATACAGCAAAAAAGATACTAAAAAACATGAATGTAAAAAATGAAATGGCAATCTGGCTCTTAAAAAATTTGGAAAATATTTGGATTTTTTTTTTGTCATATCAAACATCTCTATCTAATTTTTTCTAATAAATCTATCTTTCTACACTCTCTACATGTCGAGGTCAAAGCACCAAAGTTTGTGATTGTGTGAGTACCTTTGTCGTGGTGGTGCCAGGCCCCGGTGAAGTAGTCGTGGAGGGTCTGCGGGCGCTGCCAGGTGTCTAACAGGAAGTCCACCTGGTGCTGCTTCCTCCAGGTGAGAGACTGGCACAGGAACTCTCGCGCTTTGTCCAAGTTAAAGTCCCGAGCGCGGAGGAAGCGAAGAACGTGCTGGTCTTTGGGGATCTGTGAAGAAGAAGAGTAAGCCACTATATGAGAATGTAAAGCCCTGAAGGATGTTATAATGAACTTTATAAATGTGTTTTAGAAGTTACAACATGATAGAATAAAACAAGATACAATTCACACAAGGCAAGACATTTTATCTCTTGTGAGCTTGTGGGATGAGATCTTATAAACCCATTTACCAATCACATTTTAGGGTAAATAAAATACACGGAACACTGAAGCACCACTTCCTCTTCTTTGCAGCTGTCGTCAGACTCAGCATCAGTTCCAGTTAGAATTATTATAGCTTTTCTGAATCCCGACAGGATGGTTTTGGTTGTTACTGAAGTCCAGGCTTTGTCGATGAATCCAATGACTTCCAGGAAAGTTGCATGGTGCACCCTCCTGGTTTCTCATTCACTCCAAACTTTCTTTCTGCTGCTCGATTACCGTTTTCGGCTGCATATTTCACTACTTGCAGCTTGTAATCTACAAAATATGATTTTCTTTTGGAGGCATTTGTGTTCAGTCTTCTCAGTTGTCTTTAAGTTTGTTTAAATTTTACATTTTCAGTGGTACAAAAGTAATGGTGTGACCGACTGACAGGACAGAGGCTCTTACTACAGGAGACATGCGCAGTAGAGTGAAGTGACAGCTGTACAGGAGTGATAGGAGCAGCAGGTACTGAGACACACAAGCTTAGAGCCTCTCGAGGCTGTCAGTGTGAAAATTTTAATATACAAGTCGCACCGGAGTATAAGTCGTAGGACCACCCAAACAATGAAAAAAAGTGTGATTTATAGTCCGAAAAATATGGTAGTAAGATGCCTTTCAAGTGATGTCATGAATATTTACATGAACATCGACTTTAAACTGAACTTTTCTTTAACACAATCTGACGATTACAATAACATTAAAGTCAGAAGTGAGCATTAACTCAAGTATTAACCATCCTTGTGTCCTTTATTAAGACGCTTCACTCGCCCATTGCTTATTACTGTCATAGTGTGTTAGCGAGGGCACCCATCATAAAAATATTAAAACTTCATACATAAATAAAGAATTTAGCATATTTTTTTCAGTGTTTTACTTTACATGTTTTTGGGCTATTCTTCTACTTTCATTTTCATAATTAAAATAAATGAAGGACAAAACTACACGTCTTTTCATCACATTTCATCAGTCAGGTACAGTGCGTTGAATACATACAAGTATAGATTAATATAAACTCACTTCATTTCCATTACACATGAATTTTAATGAACAAAGCAGATGTAAATGTACTGACCTTCCCCTTGTGTCCGTCCTGGAGCCACTGGCGCAGTCGGATGAGACAGCTCTCCTGCATGGGGGTTAAATCGCCCAGGTAACGCCTGATGTAGTCTGCATCCAACTTATCTGCAAGTCATACATAAATATACATAATCAGTCTTAGGCCGGGCACAGACAGACACTGGTTTAAATAAGATCCTACAATGGGAAATACTTGTTAAAATACATTTGCATTACAAGGTTTAAACAGATGTACAAATATTAAATTCATACAACTTTTGAGTCACACTTCAGGAGTTTTCAGAATCTTACACCTTGACTTAAAGGTACACTGTGTAACTTTTTTGGTTGGAGGTCCGTCATCTGCTTGTTTCTTTGGATATGTCATTGCTCTGCCTGGAATGTTCCACAGTATGACATTAAACACCTCTACCTTACATTTATTCAATTACAGATGGTTTTATAGCTCAAAAATACATAATAAAAAACAGGCATTCTGACTGTGAGTGGGGTCCCATCTCCACAGATCTGACCTGTAACTTGGTCTGGTTTCGGTCTCCATGAAGATAGAAAGGTTTAATACTGTGAAACATTCTAGACAAAGTAAAAACAGCTCTATAGAGCAGGGGTCTCCAACCTTTTTTCTCCAGTGAGCTACCTTTACGAAACAAAAATGCCAGAGAGCTGCCAATTTCAGAAGTCGCAAAGAAACAGCAAGTCTTAGATGGGGAACAGTTTGGTGCTTATAAAACATAAACAATTATCCATTTATCAGTGCACGAAGTTGGGCATCAAAATGATACATTATACACATAATTAATCAAATTTTACTTTTATTATTATGCACAATAGATAAAATTCAGAAATCCCTTGACGAGCTACTGTATTTTTCGTACTAAAAGTCGCACTTTTTTCATGATTTGGGTGGTCCCTTATAATCCAGGGCAACTTATATATTAAAATTTTCACACTGACAGCTGCAAGAGGGCGCTCTAGGCTCCTACTCCTGTACCACTGTCACTTCGCTCTACTGCACATGTCTCCTGCAGAAAGAGCCTCTGTCCTGTCTGGGATTATGTCATTCGATCACACCTTTACTTCTGTACCAATGACATTTTTTAATTCAAATAAACATGTAGACAACCGAAACCATCCTGTCGGGATTCAGAAAGGCCAGAATAATTCTAACTAGAACTGAGGCTGAGTCTGACAACAGCTACACAGAAGAGGAAGCGGCGCTCTGTTTACCTCCAGAGGTCACGGAGTTGCTCAGAAGTGACACAGAGGATGAAGAATTCAATGGATTTAGTGATTTGGAGTGAGATGGAGAGTTTGGTAAACTTGTTCTCTTCTGTTGTTTATGCTATAATTATCTGAAGAACTGTTCGTATGTCTTCAAAATCAGTTCCTGGTCTCTAATTTTATAAAATAAATTTCCCCCAAAAAGTGCAACTTATAATCCAGTTCGATTTATATATGTTTTTTTTCTTCTTCATTACACACTTTTTGGCTGGTGAGACTTATACTCCGGTGTAATTTATAGTCCAAAAAATACAGTACTTGGAAGGGGGTTGTGAAAAACTCTTAAAAACTCATTGCCCTGAATGCATAAAGTAAGTGAGTTATAATGTTGGACCACTGCAAACTGTTATTAAGAAATTGTTCTTTTTTTTAATGCTTTTAAGACAGTAAAAATCTGGCACAAAAGCTTCGTCTTAGTCTAGATATTTAGGAGATCCACTGCAATAATGAAGAGATTTGAAAATGTTTAAAATCAAAATTCGCTTCATTCACATTATCACATTTTGAGCACCTCAGGGTCGTCAAGATTAACTGGCTCATTCCTAACTATGATTATAGACGTAATAAAATGATCTGAAGACATTTTTAATAGATAATTATGAAAATTTAGAACCAAATGTATGTGATTAAATTTTCGAAATGTGAAGTGCTATAATCTTTTTTCGTTTACGAGGTCATATTCACTTTCATTTTGGTCAAGTCACTAACTACAGGGACGAGAGAGAGAGATCTATTAGACACAGTGAAGTAAAGCAAATAAGATCCAAATTTTGGTCTTCACTATCACTACACTGTCAAACTATCACTTCATGACATCACAAGGTGGAACAGAGCACGTTGAGCTGTGGAGATGCAGACAGACTAATAATACCTAAAGATTGCTCAAACATGCATGAATGAAACAAAACAAAACTCCAGGTATGTTTCTGAGGAAGTACCGACATTCTAAAACGGACACAAGCTCAGAACAGTACATTTTACAGAATATAGAAGCTTCAAAAGTGCACTGTGTAACTTTTCTGAAGTACAGTACGCCACCTGCTTGTTTCCATGACAATGTTTTTTGCCCTGCCTGAAATATTCCACAGTATGGCATTATATTTATCTATTTAGCATTTCAATTAGAGCTGCTCGATTATGGTAAAAATCATTATCACGATTATTTTGGTCAATACTGAAATCATGATTATGCAAATGATTATTTTTTAGTTACACGATGCATTTATGCAGTATTTCTCTTTAAAAAAAAACACTTTGTTATTGATAATTTACACAAACTTTCAAATTGAAAGGCTACATATATGTACCTTAGAGCAATTTTGCGATGTATAAAACATAAAATGAACAAGAAAAGCACTCAGAGAGCGCAGACCTCCGCCAAGGACTACCCCCATTTTTTATATAAATTGCGATAAAATCAGTCTTCTGGATCAGATCCGGATCAGCCTTTGGAATATGAAAGAGGATCCCATTGTCCATCCCTGAGTCAAATTTCATGGGGTTTGGTCAATAATTAACCGAGATATTGAGAAACAAAATTTTTGGCCCCATTTACCACAATGTTAACTAAAATTTCAAAGTGATCCAGAATCCAGGATTTCTTCCGGATCACCCCCAAAATGAAATCAGTTCTTCCATTTCACATTTCCAACAAATCCTGAAAATTTCATCAAAATCGGTCCATAACTTTTTGAGTTATGTTGCTAACAGACAAACAAACAAACAAACAAACAGACAAACGCCGGCAAAAACATAACCTCCTTGGCGGAGGTAATAAAATATGCTTTGAACATGAAATAAGGCATAGAAAAACATAAATGTATCCAAAATAAACTATATATCCAGCTGTTCTACAATCTCTATATTTAAAAACTAAAATAAATATACTTATTTATATAAAAAATATCCCAAAATAAACTTTTTAACCGTTGAGTTTAAATGGTTTCAACTCAATTATATGAATTTGGAGATCGTTTGACAAACAAATCGAAATCGCGATCAAAATTCCATTAATAGCACAGTTTTAATTTCAGTACTAAAGAATAGACTCGATACTTAATAATGACTCCATGACAACGATGACTTAGACAGTAGAGTGTGATTTTTAACATTAAATCATAGTACTTACTTTTATATTACCATGTGGCCTTATATCTGTGTAATCCTTCAGTCGCCCAGGTAAGTTCCATAGTGGTCCGTGGGCGTACACTAGTCTATGTGCTCTTATACTTGTTCTGATACAGTTCAAGATCATTCTAAACCTATTCAAAAAGGTTAATAACTGTGCTGTGAATGTGACTTTTTTTAGTATCGATACCTGCTCAAATGAGTCTAGTTTTGATACTAGTTATAGTATCGATTAGCATTTAATTTTTGATCTTTTACAACTCTGTTCCTCATAAATACTTTACAGGACAACTCAGCAACATTTCCATGGAGACAAGAACATGGTAAAATGGTACACTGTGAACATTTAAATTATTATGTTCAAGTGTTTTATAATTGCTAATTATAGGTGAGGTTAATAAGGCTGTTTTATTCATTTAGATTTAAAAATAAGAGAAGTGTCTCTTAGTGTTTAGCCACCGCACGCATTTTTGTGTTGGATTAATGTGGTCTAATGGAAATCTTGACATCTCCACCTCAAATTAACCTGAACTGAATAACCTGGTAATAATGTAAGACAGGCATGGTAATGTGGTTAACTGACCATCGGGGGAGCCGGCGAGCTCGCTGGGGCCGGACAGGGCTGCGTCTCTGGGGGTGGACACTGGGATGGCCGTGGAGGAGGAGGAGGAAGAGAGAGGAGGAGTCCAGCGCGGTATAAAGCTGATGCCCTCCCGCTCCATCTCTGCCAGGTAATACTCGATGATCTCTTTCCCCTGCACAGGAGGAGAGGAAATGGGTCTAATTGGATTTCACAGGTGGAAACCAGGTGTCAGTGTGAGACAGACTGTATGACGGAATGAGGGAACCCGATTTGAATGACCTGAAAAAGAGCTGACGCTTTCAAACTAAGTGAAAAGTCATATTTATGCACTTTTGTGGTATACTTTCTCTTACGACAGAAGACATTTATGCAAAATAGGGCGCCCCATATGTTTTGCCCTGTTCACAGCAATACGCACTGATTACATTGACGAAAATTAAGCTTTCACCTAAGGATGGGCATGATTAGTCCACTAATCGATAATAGATCTTTAAGAATTTCATTGATCATGTACATTTTTAATCAACAAACTAAATTTAGGTTGTAGGTTGTGTAGCGTAAGGAGACGAGGCTGCGTCTGACAGCACAAACATTGGAGTTATGGCCTCACAGTCTCATGTTTGGGCTCTGGCACCTCCTTGGAGATTACTGTACCACTCAGTGATGCATTTACATGCACATCAGTGTCCCGGGTATGATCGGGTTTTTTGAGTATCCTGGTTTCTTCATGGTGCATGTATACATAGTATCCTGGTTACTGAACATAAAGTTGAGTGCACATGCGTCCAAAAGATAAAAACTTCAGTCTTTTCATCACAACTGTAGCCAAAATAAATAAAGTGACCAACATAAATAAAGTGAGTGAAATAATGCGCTAAATTTGCACCTGTATGATCTCTGAAAACATGAACCATCTCCAACGTGACGCACACACAGAGCAGACTCACCATCATCATCAACATCCCTCTGTCACAGAAAGAACTTATAGTTTATGCAAATTAGCCATGTGGTTTTAAGTTTTGTTTCTGTAAAACGTAAACAAATGTCAAAACTCCATTAAACACATTATAATCTCAAACGGGCTGATGTGGCTGATGTAGTTATGGTTTATATGTTGTAAAGTTGAGTTTATTTATGCAGATTTGTAATAATAATTATGATAATTTTAACATAAACATTTTAATGATTAATAAACATTTTAATGATTAATCAAAAATCTATTGTTAATTGTCCCGACGATTGATTAAGAAAATTTTATCTCTACTTTGGCCTACTCCATCCATCTCTAAATTATACAGAGATGGTGGAGCAGTCAAACGATGAATTCAGTTAAGAGTGTAGTTACTTTGATTATATCTGAAGGAGTGGTGCACACACAAGAAACTCAAATAATTATTTAATACTGTCGACGTAAAGCTTTTGTCACTTGTAGATTTAGGCCTATCCCAACACTACTGTGCACTTGCTCAAGAGGAGCTCAAGTGCACATTCTGTACAGCGTTTTGATCCACACTCCACCACCCCGCTCTCTCCGTACTCTCAGCGAGTGTGGAGCGATGCAGACTTCCCCACGACGCTCTTCACTGGAAAGTTTTCAAGTGGTGCAGCGCCTGTACCTTTGCAACTTATGAGCAACTTAGCAGAGAGAGCGTCAAGTGGGTGCAATAAAAAAGGAATGCCTCAGTAGTTAAACTGATCATACTGATAAATATGACGACAGGTAACTAAAGGTTAAAGCACTGCTCTTATATTTGACACACTAATACCATGTTCACTAAGAGAGTGATCTGAAGAGGACTGTCCCAATTCTCACTCTTCACAGCCCTGCACCCTGAGCACTCACACACTTCAGGCGCTTTCAGAAACTGTGTGGGGATTGGGACAGGAGCTTACTCACAGTGAGAAGAGCAGCCAACACTTAAAAAGTAAGAGCACTGCAGTTCTGTAAAATAGACCACTCAAGTAAAAGTATGATTTGATTACCATATTTTTCGGATTATAAGGTGCAATATCAATAATGTTGAATTCTCTTGTCTATATTCATACATAAGGTGCATCGGATTATAATGCGCAATAAGCAAAACAAACGGATGACACTTGAGACTGATCCCTTAGCCCAGGCGTCCATGATCCATTGGCAGATCCTGGCATAATTGTTGGTGAATGTGTATTATGAATGTGAATGTGGATGGATAATTTAAATTTGTTTTATTATTTCCTACAAAGGGAACTCAAATATACATCGAGTAATAATGTGTGTAATGCAGCTTTGCGCACATTTGTTTACATTTACAGAAACAAAACTTAAAACCACATGGACAATTTGCATAAACTATAAGAGCTGAAAAAATGCTCTACGAGGCTCCTGACTACTGTAGCCGTAATGCTCCGACAATCCATCAAGCGGCGCGGCTTCGTAGTTTACCAAAGTCATACTAAAACATTTTGACAGATTTTTGAGCGCCGTGTGCCACATGAAATCAGTTCGAGGTCAGTAAGCACAACTAGAATTACTACATAAGGTGCAACGGATTATAAAGCACACTAAAGTCGATTTTTGAGAAAATTAAAGGATTTTAAGTGCGCCTTATAGTCCAAAAAATACAATAAATAATTACTCAAGCAAAAGTGATGTAATGATCTTTGTGTTTGTTCAGGGTTGACCCCTTTCATTGTTCCTGTAACTGTTCATGTGTTTTTGATAATGTTTACTTTTGTATGTGACACTTTCGGTTGCTGTGCAGACAAATGTCAAAGTCCCATTGGTCTGTTACTGGTGAGGTTTTAGACTGGCTCTGCTGAGTTGAGACTGCTGTTATTTTGTTGTTTTGGTGTGAGTTCCAGCCTACAGTATCCCTCGTGTTCAGAAAATAAACAAGAAGAATTTTGGCATGTTTCCTCACACCAGAATGCTACAGTATCACTAGGGCTGGGTATCATTGAGAAGTTGCCAATATGATACACATCTCGATACAGTGAGCTTTTGTTTCAATACGATATATTTCAAATCAATTCGATACGGTCACTGTTGGCGAGTAACAGATTACATGTACCAGAGTTACGTAATCAGAGTACAAATTATGAGTAACTGTATTTTGTTACAGTTACTGTTTCAGTGAGTGGTAATTGGATTACAGTTACTTTGTTGAAATAAATGGATTACATGGCGGTATTTTCCTGTTTTCACATTTGGGGCTTTTTTTTTCCCCTCTGTAATTCCACTCACTAAACCAGGACACTAAACCAGATCTAAACCCAGGTCTAAAACCAGATCTAAACCCAGGTCTAAAACCAGATCTAATCCCAGGTCTAAAACCAGGTCTAAACCAGGACTAAACAAGGACTAAAACCAGGACTAAACCAGGATTTAACAGGACTAAACCATGATGCTGTGTCTCCTCATCTTCTATCAATAATATTTTTAAAGAATCTGCCTTTTCATTTATTTTAGCAAACAAAACATCTTATGTGAAGAGTTCCTTATCTTTGCTACTCTACAATAAATCAAGTAATCAAAAGTATTCAGATTACATTACTCACTTTAAGTAACTTAATGGATTCCGTTACAAACTACATTTTGGGGTATGTAAACTGTAATCTGTAGGGGAATACATTTTAAAAGTAACCTTCCCAACATTGGATACGGTTCAATAAAAATAAAGTCTAAATCATGGCTGTGATACTAAAAGTCTTTGTTAAACCACTTCTTGTAAAAAGTTAAGATGAAACACAAACTTTTTAATCATCAAAACAGTGAAAATGTTAAATGTGTTGGATAAACGAGTTTCCTTCATCCAAACAAGCAACAAAACTGCAGTTGTAACAAAATAATTAGGTAAAATATACCAAAAAATACTCTTGGAGACATATCGATACAGCAGCCCATGATATCAATACTATATCATTACATTAAATGATACGATATATCAATATTTCAGTATTTTTGCACACCCCTAAGTATTACCCACCTATTATTTCCCTAATTATAAAAAATACACACCTTTTTAATGTTACTAGCGTATTGTTTTCCGACTATCTTCTCCGCAGTGCTCTCAAAGCCAAAAAAAGACTTGATGTCCATACTGGCAGTCTGCTCGTAGCATGTCCAGTTTTCATTTTCTGGATGAACCTAGAAAAACAAACATTGAAAAGGAAAAAAAAAAGATTGCCATAAGTAAATACATGTGTGTAGAAAGATTAAATGTTTTCAAATCTCAAGTGAATTATAGCAAAATGGCAAAGTCTGCAGTTATGTAGGTCATATGATGTTCTTTGCAGTGGGCTGAAAGTCCTGGTGCTTCCACTGGGTCTTATCTGCAAAAGCTGCTAACCTTGTAGTTTAGACGTCTACAAACATGTTCTGAAATGCATGGGATTCTTGCGCCAGTTTATCAGTTTAGATTTCAGTCCTCTCTGTGCGCCGTGCCAGAATTTTACTGTTTTAAAAAGATGAAAAGCAGAACTAGTTCATTTAAAAATTATTCCTCACTTACCTTATGTATCTCAAGCATTTTAATTATTCACTGCAATTAGTTTATAAGAGTTTTTCACTACTTTCAGAGGTTATAGCTGCATGTGTCATCATGGTAACAAAAACTAACATGCTAACCACGCACTTCCTTGTTATCACTTATAAACCACTTGCTAAATTGATGCAGACATTACACATACGATCCATTCTGACCTCAAAAACTATACAATATTCTGCAACGGAGCAAGACAAAAGTTGCTTAAAGGTGCACTGTGTAACTTTTCTGGTGAAGGGTCCATCAGATGCTGGAATGTTTCACAGTGCACTGGTATTAAACCAGGGGTGTCAAACATACGGCCCAGGGGCCAGATACGGCCCACCAAGACCTTTAATCTGGCCCTCAGCTGATGTTCGACTAAAATATTTTAATTATATTTTAAAACCTGAAGACAGAATTTGCAATTTTTCGCACACCATTCACAGTCAAAATCTCTGATGTGCCTGCAGACATGCAACTAGAAATAATAGACTTACAGTTACTAAAAGATGCCAAGTTTCAGGAGCAAAAAGAAAGCATGATTAAATTCTATGAAATGCATACAGGTTCATGTTAAAACATTGTGTTGAAATGGCATTTTTCTTAAAATTTCAGGTTGTTCATAATATTATAATATTTTGTAAAAGAAAAGAGTTCATCAATTAAAAAAGATTTCTGTAATAGATTTGTGTTTCTCTGCACAAATATTTGAAGTTATTGCTATTTTTGGGGTAGTTTTCTGATCCGGCCCCTTTGGGATCAAAGTAGGTTGGATACAGCCTCCGGACAAAAATGAGTTTGACACCCCTGTATTAAACCTTTCCATCTTCACGGAGACCGAACTAGACCAAGTTACAGGTCAGATCTGTGGAGAGGCAACCCCGCTCTCAGTCAGAATACCTGATTTTCTATGTATTTGTGACCAACTAAACCACCTGTAATTGAATAAACGTAAAGTAGAACTGTTTAATGTCATACTGTGGAACATTCCATAAAAACAAGAAGGACACGCCCCCCCCCCAGTCAAAAAGTTACATAGTGCATCTTTAAATACAAGGGGAAAAAATGGGTATTTAAATGTCAGTGCTCCTGGAGTTGTTTATATGTGAACTAAAACCTACTTTTTAAACATATATCTCAAATATAATAAGAACACAAATTTTAACCTACACTACCAGTAGGGCTGGGTATTATTCAGAAGTTGCCAATACGATACATATCTCGATACACGGGTCACGATACGATATACATCTTGATACAATGACCTTTCAATTCAATACGATTCAATTCAATATATTTAAAATCGATTAAATATGGTTCAATAAAAAATAAAGGTTAAATCATGGTTATGATACTAAAAGTCTTTGTTAAACCAGTTCTTGTGCAAAGTGAAAATGAAACACACCAACTTCACACACTAAAACTGTGAAAATGTCAAATGTGTAAAATGTGTTGCATAAACAAGTTTTCTTCCTCTGAATAAGCAACAGAACTGCAGCAATGAAACAAAATACTTTAGTAAAATATACCAAACACACTCTTGGCGATATATCGGTACCTCAGCCCATGATATTAAGACTGTATCATCACATTAAACGATACGATATATCGAAATTTCAATATTTTTGCACACTCCTAACTACTAGTCACTTCCTCATTTTGTTTTTCTTTATGTTTACTACTTTCAACATTTTATATACATACTACTAATGAAGCAAGAATATGGAGTTATGTAGTAAAGAAAATAAAAATGAAATAACTCAACTACATTTTTTTATATTCATATCCTCAGAGTTTTCACCCTTTGCTTCGTTGACAGCGCTGCAAATCCCTTGGCCTTCTCTCAGTCAGCTTCTTGACAAAGTCTCCTAAAATGGTTTTCACTTCACAGTTGTGCCGGGTCAGGGTCAAGAAATGCCAAGACTGAATACCGGGGTTCAAAGCAAAGGGCAAGGGCTTTTTTTTTTATCTCAAACAAGTTGCGTGACTTTGAGTTTATTTTTTCTATGGCTGCACATATCTAGCTTTTTCAGTTGCAGTACTGATTTGGACTATGTTGATATTAACTGATACCAATGCAGAGACTGAAAACACCATTTATTTTCTTCAAACAAAAATAAAAGTGATCCAAATGTGTCTAGATGTTATTTATCCTCAAGTAGCTACAGAACAACTAACTAACTAAACTAAATTAAAGTTCAAACATCATGAGACTTTCTGGGCTGACTACTGACGGCTGGAGCAGTACTTGAAGCAGATATCCGATCCAGTATCCAATATTTCACCAACTACGGAAATACAAAGGAAACAAAAGTGGAAAAGTGTGTCCAAACTTTTGACAGCTAGTGTATACAGTCGTCCCTCACTATAACGCGGTTCTCCTTTTGCGGCCTCGCTGTTTCACGGATTTTTAAAACATTTTTTTTGTAGACCAGAGTCCTGCACTGGGTCAGGCAAATAGTTGCTGAAACGGGCGGGTTTTAACGTTGTGGAATTTTACGGGCGAGTATGCAGGCAGGTAGTGATTACACAAGGGCAGGTCAGGACTAAACAAGCGCAATCAAAGACAGCAACCTGGTCCCCCATGAGGCATCGGTGGGGGCAGTTCATCACTACAGAAGCAGCTTATGAGGAGCCCAGCCCACACCCCGGTTATGTGTGTGCCAACTTGTGTAATGATTGGGTGAATATTTTAGCCCGCAGATGGTTCAGAAATTGCCGAAATTGCCTATCCTTTATAACGGCGTGACCTTTGAATTGACCCGTGTGAACTCAAATGACCTCGGATCGTCACCAAACTTTTTGGGGGGCATCAGGCACGGGGGCTTGACCCACGTATCAAATTTGGTGACAATCAGTTCATACATGGCGGAATTATCGCGGGTGGACAGACACACACACAGACACACTGGGTGAATACAAAACCCGGTCAACACTTCGGGGACCAGGTAATCAGGACTAAACCAGGGCTACACCAGGACTAATCTTGGACTTAAGAGAGAGAACCCCGAGTCTGCAATCGGGTGACGGCTGTGCTTACTCTACCTCCGTGGGGTGTTCTGTGTGCCGATCCGACAGTGAGTCCTGAGTTCAGTTCTGGTTTAGTCCTGGTTTTGTTCTGGTTTAGTCCAGTTTTAGTCCTGAGTTCAGTCCTGGTTTAATCCTGGAATCAGTCCTGATTAGTCCTGAGTTAGTCCTGGTTCAGTCCGTGGCGTGTTTCTTCTGCTCATTAAATAAAACCTGTGAAGTGAAGACAGTCGAGTCGCGTCTGTGAATTTGTATTCGTACTGAAGAAAGAGTAACAGTTTCATTTCATTTTATGATTGTAATTCTTGAAGTCGTAACTTTTCAATTCATATTCTGATGGATGCTTGAGTTAGAGTGCTCTTAATTTGTGTATGATTTAAAAATGGACCCGTGCAGGACTGTGCGCTGTAGGGCTCCATAACGGAATAAATTAATCTTTGGTTCGTTACATAAAGAAGGAGGAAAATAACATAAAGATGACAGCAGCAATAAGTATTAAGAAGGATGCAAAAAGAGTAAAGAGTAAAGAGTTGTAACTGTCCTGTCTGAGAAAAGTGTATAAAGTGTGTGGTGAGGGGTTTCACAGCCTTAAAACATATGTAATAATTGTAAAATATAAAGTTGACTACTTCTACTATTTTTAGAACATAACTCCCACGATAAACGAGGGACCACTGTACAGTATTTCATGACCTGGTACTTTGTATGGACTTACAAACTGTCTTCCACGGTGTTATGGAAAGGGCCTGTATGTAAAAGAGTTATGTAAAAACCATAAACCGAGCAGAGGACACGTTGCATAACTCACCGAGTACCTGCAGTGCTCCCGGACCAGGACTCTGCTGGAGAAGGTCTCGTTGTGGATCCTGATGTCCAAAGTCCTCTCCCTGCGGTTCAGTGTGTTTTTCTGAATGAAGTACAAGTAGTCCAGACCAGCAATCTGAAACGGTAAAAAAACAAACATGAAAACTTTCACAAGGATTTTCCACAGACTCGTATTTCTTGGGGCTGCACAAAATGTTACAAATTTATTAGCCTGTGATCCACTAAGAGAAGTAGACACATCGCAAGAAACTGAACAAATTTGAAAAAGAAAATAATTTCAGTTTGAGCCTGATCCTAGGTCTGGTTCAGTAATAATTAATTTGGTCAGTCTGACTAGAGTGAATTAGAATGATATCTCTCTGTATTTTTTATACAGGGGGACATGTATAAAAAATACAGACTCACATCTTCGTAAAGTATTGAAGAAGTGTATTCTGGATCCCAAATAATGGTATAATACTATAAATATATATAGTATAGAAAATTGGAGTTGGATTGAATATGATATGAACAAAAATTTATTCTTTTTTTTTTCATTTGATTAATTATGATTTGTGATTTAATTGTATTTATGTATACATATTTATTAATTATTTTTGATGTATATATATTTTTACATAAATAAGGTGGTTTATATTAAGCTTCATTAAAGGTACAGTATGTAACTTTCTGGAGGTGAAACATCATCTGTATTATTCCATGGAAATACAAATTAAAAGCACACTTCAGCACAGACATGTCAGACTCAGGTCCGGGGTCCAAATTTGGCCCGCAATATAATTATATTTGGCCCGCGAGAAAATATCAAATATGTATTAGAGCTGGCTACAGTAAGGCTATAGAGACTTTATTTTTATTTTATATTTTGCTTTTTCTGGATTCAATGTTTAAGCAAAACTATTATTAAACATTTATATAATAAGAAAAGGTTTAACATATCTCGAAAGAAGAGAAAACATGCAGGTGTTGTTGAAATTATTTCAGTAAATATTTAGTTTGGCCCATGACTTCGTCCCAGTTTTTAATTTTGGCCCTCTGTTAAGTTTGACACTCCTGCTTCAGCACATTCTTCATGGAGATAGATGCGTTTTATACCATACCGTGGATCTTAACGAAGTAAAAGTACTACAATACTCTACTTAAGTATAAGTATTTAGGTATATGTTCTTTACTTAAGTAGATTTTAAAGTGCATACTTTTCATATTTGATACATTTCAGATCAAGTATCTTTGCTTTCTACTCCACTGTATTTTTTTCACAGGACTGAAAAAGTAAAAGTATTGATTTACTATAGTTTGAGATCTGCTGAAAATCCTGGGGGTTTATTTTTAACATGCTCACAGCTTGAGCAAACAAGAACATACAAATAAAAACAGAAAGGAAAAAAAACGATCGATTCAGTTGTTTCTGTTGAACAAAATTCAGCACAAATCTTTACCAAAATCACTACATTTGAAGCTTTATCTTAAAATCTGTGCTAAAAACTTTAACTTTAATACTTTTACTTACGCAAATTTTTCAAGTGAGTATTTTTTCCTCCAATATCTGTACTTTCACTTAAGTAACAAACTTGAGTACTTCTTCCATCACTGATTATACCCAAAGGAACAAGTATATTTTTGGTTAAAAAGTTACATACTGTGGCTTTAACACAACACATTGCTATTAAGCAGTGATGGATGAAGTTCTCAATTTTATTACTTCAGTAAAAGTACAGATGCAGAGGCAAAACAGCTACTCCAGTAAAAGTATTTAAGGCAAAAATTACCCCTCAAATCATATGAAAATTACGTTTTACTTTTCAGTCCAGCTCAAAAATGTTGTGGAGAAAGTAGTAGCTACTTAGTTTTAAATTTTAGTGAATTCAAAGTAAAAAGTATCCAGAGTAAAATTGACATAAATAAAGTAGATACCTACAAATTCTACATTACTACTACAGTATTTTACTACTTGTACTTCTTTCCCTCCAATCCAGCCCTTTATTTTGCTCGGCCGGTTTTGTTTACCCTTTTGAGGAGTCTGGGGATCTCGATATCAATAGTGCAGCGTCTCTCGGTCACGACCACAGAGCCGTCCTCACTGTGAGTCTCACTCAGGACCTGACAGTCCACCAGCACCGGGATCAGAGGACACTTTGGGAACCTGCGCACATACGCCTGTACAAGACAATAACACAAACATTAGAGTGATACAACACAACACAAATAAAGAGATCACATGAAAATTTCTGTTTATTATTATAGTAGTAGTAGTAGTAGTAGTAGTAGTAGTAGTAGTAGTAGTAGTAGTAGTGATTGTAGTAGTAATTAGGGCTGGGTATCATTAAGAAGTTGCAGATACAATGCATATCTTGACACATAGGCCACGATACAATACATATCTGGATACAGTGCACTTTCGGTTCGATATATTTCATATCGATTTGATATAGTTCAATCAAAAATAAATGTTAAATCTTGGCAGTGACACTAAAAGTCTTTGTTAAACTTTAAAAATTTTACTTATAAAAACAGTGAAAATGTCAAACACGTATAACAAAATAATTTTGTCAAATATACCAAAAAATACTTTTGGTGATATCAATACAGCAGTCCACAATATCAATACTGAATCATCACATTAAACGATACGATATATATCAATATTTTAATTTTTTTGCACTCCCCTAGTAGTAACTGTAGACAAGACAATAACACAAACATTATAATAACAATATAGTAATAAAACAGAACACAAATAAAGATATCACATGGAAATCTCTGTAGTAATGATAGTAGCAGTAGTAGTAGCTGTTGTAGTTGTTGTAATTGTAGTTGTTGTTGTAGTAGTGGTAACTGTAGCTGTAGTTGTAGTAGTAACTATAGTTGTAGTTGTAGTTGTTGTAGTAGTAGTAATTGTAGTTGTAGTAGTAGGAGTAGTAATTGTAGTTGTTGTAGTAGTAGTAGTACTAGTTGTAGTAGTAGTAGTAGTAGTAGTAGTAGTTGTTGTTGTACTTGTTGTAGTAGTAGCAGTTGTTGTAGTAGTAATAATTGTAGTTGCAATTGTGGTTGTTGTTGTTGTAGTTGTAGCTGTTGTAGTAGTAGTAGTAATTGTAGTAGTAGTAGTAGTAGTAGTAGTAGTAGTAGTAGTAGTAGTAGTAGTAGTATTAATAGTAGTTGTAGTTGTAGTAGTAGTAGCAGTAGACAATACAATAACACAAACATTATAGTAACAATACAGTAATAAAACAGAACACAAATAAAGTTATCACATTGAAATCTCTGTAATAATTATAATAGTAGTAGTAGTAAATAATTGTAGTAGTAGTAGTACTAGTAGTAGTAGTCTCTATAGATATGTGATGCATTTAAAAGCTTTATGTTAACATGGTTTAGTCGTGGTATCACTGGCAGACATGTTTTTGAAATGTTTGCTTAGCCCAAAAATGATTATGTCAAAACTAATTCCTGAACACAAATAGATGATGAGATTTGGGAGCAAAAACTATTTGCAAAGAGAGACATTTGAGAATTAGAGATGATAGAAAAAAAAAAATACTTAAACTTTACTTGCATGCTGTGTCTTTCCTTAAACACAAATTGCATAAGAATAAGAATCTGTTTTATATGTGGGATTATGTAAGTGCTTTTATAAACAGTTTTTTGCTTCACTGACAACTTTTAATTGCACCTGTCACCAGTGATCAGGCTGCAGACAGGACACACCGGGACACCTGGACTTTGAACTGTCTCTCTCTGTCTTCTTCTATTTGTCTCTCTCTTTCTCTCTCTCTTTTTGTCATTCTCTCTGTCTGTCTGTCTTTTTTTGTGTCTCTCTGTCCCCCTCTCTGTTTCTCACTCTCTCTGCGTTTCTTTCTTTCTGTCTCCCTCTCCCTTATTTGTCTCTGTCTCTCTTCCTGTCTCTGTTTCCCTCTCTCTCTCTCTTTATTTTTGTCTCTCAGCCACTCTCCGTCTCTTTCTATCAGTCTATTTCTCTCGCCTCTCTCTTTCTCTCAGTCTCTTTCTCACTCTCTTAGTCTCTCTATGTCTCACTTTCTCTCTTTACCCTATAATCTCACTCTCTAGCTCTCTCTCTCAGCTACTCTTCATCTCTCTTTCTCACAGTCTCTTTCCCTCTTTGTTAGTCTCTCTATTTCTCAGTTTCTCTCTCTATCCTATACTCTCAGCCTTTATCTCTCTCTCTCTCTCAGTCACGCTTCGTCTCTCTTTCTCTCAGTCTCTTTCTCTCAGTCTCTTTCTCACTCTCTTTTTCCCTCTTTGTTAGTCTCTCTATGTCTCACTCTCTCTCTATCCTACATTCTCTTTCTTTGGCTCTCTATTTCTCTCCATATGTCTTTCTCTCTGTTTCTCTCTTATCCTCCCTCCCTCTCCCTCTCTCCATCTCTCTCTCCATGTCTCACATTCTCTCTCTGTCCTATACTCTCTCTCTTTATCTCCATGTCTGTCCATGTTTCTCCCTGTATGTCTCCATCCCTCTCTCCCTCTCTCTCTCTCTCTCTCATATTCCCTCTTTCGGCGAGGCAGCAGTTCTCCGTCTCTTTCTCTCAGTCTCTTTCTCTCGCCTCTCTCTTTCTCTCAGATACTCTCTCTTTCTCTTTGTCTCTTTCTTTCACTCTCTCTGTTCCTTCTTTGTTACTCTCTCTATGTCTCACGGTCTCTCTCTATCCTAGACTGTCACCCTCTATCTCTCTCTCAACCACTCTTCGTCTCTCTTTCTCAGTCTCTTTCTCACTCTCTTTTTCCCTCTTTGTTAGTCCTTCTATGCCTCACTTTCTCTCTCAATCCTATATTCTCTTTCTGTCTCTCTCTCCTAGCCTCTTTCTCTCATATATGTCTTTCTCTCTGTTTCTCTCTTATCCTCTCTGTCTCTTCCTCTCTCCATCTCTCTCTCCATGTCTCACATTCTCTCTCTGTCCCTCTCCTAGCAACTCTCTCTCTCTTTCTCTCCATGTCTGTCCATGTTTCTCCTTATATGTCTCTCTCTCTTTCTCTCTCTCTCTCTCTCTTATCCTCCATCACTCTCTCATCTCACTCGCTCTCTCTCTCATATTCCCTCTTTCGGTGTAGGAGCAATTCTCTGTCTTTCTCTGGCCTCTCTTTCTCTGGCCTCTCTTTTCTCTCAAATGTTCTCTTTTGCTTTCTCTGTGTCTCTCTCACTCTCTCTTTCCCTTTTTGTTAGTCTCTCTGTTTCACTTTCTCTCTCTATCTTATACTCTCTTTCTGTCTCTCTCTCCTAGCCTCTCTCTCTTTCTCTCTTATCCTCCCTCTCTCCATCTATCTCTCCATGTCTCACATTCTCTCTCTGTCCCTCTCCTAGCCACTCTTTTTTTCTCTTCATATCTGTCCATGTTTCTCCCTATATGTCTCTCTCTTTCTCTCTTACCCTCCGTCCCTCTCTCCATCTCTCCCTCTCTCTTTCATATTCCCTCTTTCGGCGTGGGAGCAGTTCAAACGCAGCCGAGCAGATGGCCGGAGACGAGCCTAGACGAGCAGCCTTCAAACCTCCCTCTTAGACGATCAACAAACAGAGAGAATAAAGCTCCACATGAAATGCACTGACGGCAGGAGTGGACTCATTCTACCAGTGTTTGAGAGGGACTGTCAAAACGCCTCTAATAGTCTTTTCACTGTCTTGGCACGTACAAGAAGCCCCCGTCTATTACGAGTATACGCTTTATATACGACATACAGTATGTGGTAATATTGGCAACAGATACTAGGGATTCTGCTCACAGTCCACAATGTAAACAACTCATTAAGCGAAGACTGAAATATGAACCGATAAACTAATACTAACATTTCACACTTTCAAACCTAACAATATTTAAGAATACACTTGATACTCAACACCGATTTTGACACCTAAGTGATCATTTTAAAAGCTCTTTTTTAGATAATATTGTAATTTTCAACACAAAATAATAGCGTTTATTAGGGGTGTAATGATATCCAAGTGTCACGGTACGATATCGTCACGGTATGAACCTCGCGGTACGATATTTATTGCGATAAAGTGGGAAAGTTCGCGATTAGGGATGTAACAATATCCAAATCTCTCGGTACGATGTTTTCACGATAAATATCTCACGGTATATTTATTGTGATGTTTTGTGGAGGTTAACAAAACTGAATATGTTACTTTATTCTCGTAAAATGCCTTGACAAGACTTAATCCAAAGAACTAGAAGTGACTCAGAGCTGTTATTACCTCCGCCAAGGAGGTTATGTTTTTGCCGGCGTTTGTCTGTTTGTTTGTTTGTTTGTTTGTTGTTTTTGTTTGTTTGTTTGTCTGTTTAGCAACATAACTCAAAAAGTTATGGACCGATTTTGATGACATTTTCAGGATTTGTTGGAAATGTGAAAAGGAAGAACTGACTTCATTTTGGGGGTGATCCGGAAGAAATCCTGGATTCTGGATCACTTTGAAATTTTAGTTAACATTGTGGTAAATGGGGCCAAAAATTTTGTTTCTCAATATCTCGGTTAATTATTGACCAAACCCCATGAAATTTGACTCAGGGATGGACAATGGGATCCTCTTTCATATTCCAAAGGCTGATCCGGATCTGATCCAGAAGACTGATTTTATCGCAATTTATATAAAAAATGGGGGTAGTCCTTGGCGGAGGTCTGCGCTCTCTGAGTGCTTTTCTAGTTTCTTCATGTAGTCTGCACTGAAATGGAGCAAAGGATCATGGTCTATGTAGTTCCCTCTGTTTTTTTAGCTATACATGCATCATGAATTTCAGACTTACGATCATCGCGCAATGCACACTGGGAAGGATTTTCTGAAAAGGTGAGGATCAAACCACCATGTTTGATTTCCCAGTCTGATGCATCTATTGACAAAGCCAGTCTTTTCAAGTCTTTTGAACCATATCGCTTTTGTTTCTGGTTCTGATATTGTCATATTTTAGTTATGGGATTCGGACATCGTAATTGTGCGGTTGTTGGATGTCCTAACAGCGGAAAACGGCTGGGGCTTCAGAAGTTTGTGAACTCCATAAATGCAAAAGGGAATCAGATTTTTGTGACTCCAAACCTCTGTTCAACCTGTTTCTCTTCACAACGGAATTCGAAAATAGTGAAAGGTGAAGGCGATGGGCAGGATTGATCCACAGGAAGAACCAAAAAGGAAACATTTGGATACGTAAGAA